TACCTGTCGCGGCTGGCCTCCCTGATCGGTCCGTCCCTTTCTCCAGCCCGCGTGGCGGAGCCGTCGCGTAGGGCCCTTGTTGCGTTTCAGCTTGGGGGTCGCGACGGGAGAGGGGGCAGTGACTCGGACTGTCGCACCCTCACCCCTCCCTCCCTTTTCACCGCTTTCTCTCTCTCCTCTCGCCTCCCTCTGCAGTCCGGAGCCCGGCGGAGCCCGGACCTGGCGGGGAAAACTGCATCCACGGCCGTGCCCCCAGACCCCGGCGCCGCGTCCGCCACTGTCCATCATCCTTGGTACCGGCAATGGCCTTTGTATCGCCCGATGCGCTTGTGACTGACTTGAACACGGAATATTAAGAACCCAGTCGCTTCCGTCCCCATCTCAGCCGCGCCGCCAATAACCACCTCGGCTCATTTGGGCTTAACTGCTGGTCCTCTTGACTCTGTTCGACTTTGGGGGCACCATGGACCAAAGTGGGATGGAGATTCCTGTGACCCTCATCATTAAAGCACCGAATCAGAAATACAGTGACCAGACTATTAGCTGCTTCTTGAACTGGACCGTGGGGAAACTAAAAACGCATCTGTCTAACGTGTACCCTAGCAAACCAGTAAGTGTCTGAAAGCTGGGCGCAGCTGCTCTGGCCAGCAGCTTTTCGTGCCATGTACTCCCTTACTTTCTGCTCACCCCCTCCCCTCTTCAATCAAATAGGTCTCTTTTTGACTGCGAAGTATTTTGATTGCAAAGTATTTTTCCTTCCGAGGTTATGTGTCTCTTGAGTGTCTGAACCATCATTAATATCTTCCTGATGAGCTTCAGTTAATTAGTGAAAGTATGTACAGAAGTATCAGGGGACATAGGAATTGGCAGGCGTACAATAGGACCATTTTCCTTGGACTCAAAGTCATCAACCGAAAATGAGAATGACAGATGCATCTTAAAAAAAAAAAAGTCTTTAGAGAAGCACTGCAACCCATATTAAGGCTTTCATTGCTTGTTAGTCTAAAATTCTTTTTTACTTTCAACACCCGGCCCAGAAATTTGCTCACTATTAAAGAGCTAGTTTTTTCTTGGAAATAAATGTGACCCCTATAAAAGTTGTACTTTCCACACTAATAAGTATTTTAAGAAGCAAAACTTCACGTTTCAAATTCACTTTCTTCTGCTCCTCCCTCTTTTCATTTTTCTCCTGTAGAGGACACAGAAATTTTCTAAACTTAGAAGAGAACAGTCCTTTGATACCCACTCCCCCCGCCCCCCATTTGGTGCATCTTTTATTCCTTTCATATAGCCATTTGTAAATCAGTGTGGCAGTGTTTTCCATTCTGAATCATATCTGGAGATTGCGAAGATAATAAATAAAATACAGACAGACAGTAGCTCCATTTGTCCCCAAAGTTAGATTTGAAAGTTATCAACATAGTTGATAATTAAGAAGTCTTGGAGTAATTTAGAAAAGTATATTGCAATGTAGAGTGTATGAAAGTGAGGCTTTCACATTCTTGTGTAAAAATTTCATTCCTGAATAAGTAGTTTCAGTGATTACTAAGCTTTTTTTTTTTTAAATTAATGAAGAGGCTCAGATTTTTAGGGTGGGAAACATTTTTGGCATCAGGCAAATTTAAGCCAGCAGCAAGGATGTGTTGGAAAGCAACTATGCTTTATAGGTTTTAGTTAATACTTGTTTTACGCACATAAGTGAGGAAGGCACTTGATCTATATTAAGATATTAATAAGTTAGAAGTGTTTCAATGTTACAATATTAAGTTTAGTTAGGTGTTTAGGCTTCTAGAATAACTATAGAAATAGGGTGGTTATTGCAAAAACAGGAGGTTTAGAAAAACAATTGTTTGTGGGCATTAGCTGTGTTTGTCAGTACTTATTATACAAATATTTTTAGTAGGAGAAATAAAAACCCTGAAGTTTTTAAGTACTTGGAACAAAACAGTTGGAACTCTCATTTATTCAAATCTTTTCTTGAAGTTAATATTTACACAGCGGTAGTAACTTGTTTTTAAAAATTTCTGCTTTACAAAAGGTTTCCTATTGCATGTGATTTGTTGTATGTTTTTGAAGTGGAAAATAGCTTTTCAGGATAGTCAGCATTGAAACTCATAGATTTCCATAATACTGTTTGTAACAGAGCCATAACTAAGTACATTATTCCTAAGTATACCACTCTTAAATACATTTATTATTGAGTATATATCTAAATATATATGCTTAAGTATATACTTATGTGAGGATCTTTATATTATACAATTAAACCAAAAGGAATTTGGTTTACACTATGATAGAACAAGAGTTACCATTTTTATGAAACTTTCTTTTTAAAAAAAATACCTAAGAGAGGAGTGTGAAATTCATTTGTTTTACCTGCACCTGGGAGAAACCTGTTTTTGACAGGAGTTCTGCCCTCCTAGCACTAATCTCCAGTGGAGGGCTGGCTATCAGTGCGGACCACTGGAGATTAGTTAGCTGCTGGAGGACAGATCAGTTGCAAACTTCTCCATACCCCGCCCTCCTAACCCATCTGCTTCTAGTACACCCGAGGCACTTTTGGAAGCTATAACCAAATAATAAGCAGCCTGTTAATTACATAACCTTGTGGCAAACCTGACTTTTTTTCTCCTGAGCAAATTTACTCCCAAGTGAATTGTAATAGTTGAGATTTATTTCTGTTAATGAGACTGTGGGTAATGTATTCATTTTCACAGAACTTTGCTGAAAACTTTGTAAGGTTATTAGATTCAACAGACTTACATTCTAACTTATTTATCACATAGAATTAATTTGAAGTATTCCAGTTGCTGAACAGACCAGTTGTTTAATGATATTCTGAAGCCATAGGTAGTTCTCAGCATAGGAATTGGTGTCCTTAAAGTTTACTTTGTAAGGGTGTTATTTGGAATAGAGAAGTTTTACATTATAAGCAATATTATAGTATTGGTTTAATATAAACAAAGTTTAGATTCTTATGACCACCTACAATGACTACTTAACATTGATTCAGTTTTTAAGTGTTTCAAGTGCTGTTTGGTGTTTAACAGAGATAATTTCTTATGCCTGATTCCTTATGCATCTGCCTGGTGAAGGTGGGTGGACATGGAAGCAGAGAAGGGTTAGTGCCTTGTAGAAGCAGGTGACCCCCAATAGGAAGCAGAAAAGTTGGTAGCTCTGGTCATCACTGCTCTAATTGGGTCTGTTGGGCCAGGGGAGGTAGAGGGCCTTCATCCCCGTGGGCACTGGCTTCTAGGAAGATAAATGAGAGCTGCTAGAGGGAGAAGAATGGAGATTTGAAGTTGTACTTTTAGGATCTCTACAAGGATAGGTCCCTACATGCTTTAACAAAATTCTGGTTAAACTCTGCAATAGTGTGTAAAATCTTAAGATTTTTCGTTTTATGGTCGGATATTGACTTTATTTAATCACAGGTAATCTCCATCCACATGGATATTTTCAATTCAACTTCCCCTCCCTCAGTTACCCCACAACAAACATATCCATCTTTCCAAAACACATTTTCTTGGGCTTCATTTATATGTTTAATTAGGATTTTATTGACCTGACATTTTTGAAGGTCTATGTGTATACTAAGCAAAAAGGTGATGATAAGAGTCCTTTGCTCTTATGAAGCTCAAGTCTAGTGGGGCATACAGACATGTAAGTAAATAACTACAATATTATGTGGCTAATGTTATACAAGAGGGATGTACTGAGTGCTGCAGGAGCACAAGAAGGGAGCTGTCCTTTGGAGTTGGGGGTAAGGGAATGTGTACCTGTTTTAAGAAAAGATTCACAGGGGCTTTTTTTTTTTAAATACAGTTTCAAGTAGATGGTAGTTTCTTTTCTTCTTTTTAACTGTTCTTTCAGAGCTAATGTTGCACTGATGATTCTAAATGCTTTATATTGTTACAATGCTTAGTACTTTACATATAGTACTATGTAAAAAAGAGTACAGATCTATAATGGGCCACAGAGGGGAAGGTGTTTTCCAGTTAGGAAACAAGGCAGTTGCCGTATTTATGCAGAAGTTTACAAAG